CTCGACGTTTATTTGATCGCCATTAACTTGAATTTCTGATCATAAAACTACAGTCTTACCGAATCATTCAGCTTAATGGAATAAAGCTGAAAGCTTATTTACAAAAGAGAAAGATAATACGAATAATAATATAGATAATTCGGAGGCATATTAATTTATTAGAAAAGACAACTATATGATATGCGATATAAGAGCAATTACCCACTTGTTTTATATGAATCCCATCAATCGTTCTCCAAAAAAATAAAATGAAGTTTTGGCTATACATGAGTGTGGAACATCCAGAGAAATCAAAATGCCTGACGTGAAGTACCCGCCACTACTGCCAAAGTCTCGTCCGACTAAAGCCGGAGTGATTTCACTAGATTACATTATTCTCTTCCACAATTCGTCGTGATCGTTGAAAGTCTTTTACGAATTGATACACTCGCAAACCCCAAGTTATTCTACAAATATTTTCATTGGGAAAGTCATTAAAACTATGCAATGAAACGAAAAAAAAAATAAATAAATAATTGCCGTCGACTTTTGCTCAAGGTTTCAACAGCCTTTTTCGCTTCTATTTGAAGTCACGTTCTCTTTGCGGCCTTTAGAAGCCTCTGTCGTTCCGAAAAGCGTGAAAATTGCGGAGAAGAAGTGAAAAGGGGGGTGAAAGGGAGAGAAGAAGGGTTGAAAGTTTCAGAGGAGACCGCGAGGCTGAAACTCTTGACGTCATAAAAGCGAGAAAACGAGGGTGACGGTAAACTTAATTAGCGCCTTTTACGGTAAAAAATTTGCGCGTATGAAGCTTTTTGACATTAAAAAATATATGTATGGAGATTAAATGGCAAGAGAGATAAAATGTTATTTTAAATTTCTTTCATCCAATGATTGGGCACCCATTAAGCTCACCTAAGTTTCCATAATTAGAGTTTTTTCATTTCATTAAAATGATCAGTCATTATATTATTGATATTGCTATCTCTAATTTTTTTATCGTTTCCAATATCATCCGTGGTCCTCTGTTTAATTATTTTATTACTTCCTTTGTTATTAACAAACGATATAGAATAAACGATATCATTAATATCCTAGGGATTAAAACGTCCCATAAATGCGCCACTATTTCTTCCCCGAAACAAAGGATCTGAAAAGGAATAGAAATAAAATGAGCAAAAAATCTGGGATCATACCGCGGGATAAAGGAATATATGAGAACAATAATTGTAGAATATAGTATGAAAGAGTGGATGAGGAATGCGGTGGATGAATAAGGAGAAAAATGCGACGAGGGGAAAATAGTGTTGATAGCAATGGAAAATAATGTGAAACATGAAAAATAGAATAGAAAAAATATGTTGTTTAATTAAAAAAATTCCATTATGTAGACAAGACTGAATAAATTTATTATAATTTCCCCGTAGAATAGTGCAAACATTTTCATGAAGAATCTTTCACGTGACACAGACTCAGCCCATTAGAATCGTTTTAATTTTGAATATTCTGTGGTGAAAATATGGATCATGAGTTGGACGCAGCGATTTAATATCCCATGTCATGTAGCTAACATTCCTCTTCTCTCCACACCCTCGAAACTTGGCTTCCCCTTATTTCGTTGCTCTTCATACCTTTCGTTATGTTATTATGCCAGAATCGATTCTCCACTGTCAAATGATTAACGATGCGAACACCCGGGGGTTA